AATGAAGAGATTTCCCTGCAACCCAACGCATAGTAAAACATCAAAAGTGTACCAACAGTATGTATTTCAGTTGTCTTGAGCTAAAAATACCTCAGATTCCACCCAACAGAACAAAAACCAGTTTGTTCATTAGTTACGGCTTCAAAAGAACGTTCAGCTCAGCTTCAACTGAAGAGGCCTTTTGTCATGACAACGGCTCCGTAATCATCGCTATGGGTCTGAAATATTAGCACCACATGATAAAATCTGACATCATCTTTCTAAAGCAGAGCGGCCCAGAGCCAGCCAGCAGAAATGGTTTCCAGATTTTGCACATTTTAAGGGGCGTGGCCGCAGAGGAGAATCGTAAATATCTCAAAGTAATCCTTTGACATCTTAACCCTCTGGTGAAGCGAGTAACCCAACTCTCCGCTATGCTGTCAACAGGATGTTTACTGCTCACATGCCAAGCGCAGCACGGATGGCATATCTAATACCTTTCAGTAGGGCTGCAACTCAAATCTCATGGGCTCCACCTTAACTGGCACTTTTGATTATTTTTCATCACCTAAGGCCTTCACTGACGTGCCATGTGTTTCTTTATCAAAGACGCAGACTTTTTGAGTTGACATGGGCCCCATTCCACCCAGAGAGGGGCTGTTAAAGGACCTGCACACCCACTTCCTGTGTGCTTCTTCTCTCATCTTACTGAGCCGTGACATTCTTTGATTCGTGTTCACTTCGGCTCCAGCGCAAACCAGTCAGCTATGGAAGCCCGCAACAAACAGTCAAAAGAAACTGACTGCTGCTAATAAGATGTTTTATACCACTCCATAAAAGACAGCTTTTAAACAAGTGACTTTGTAATGCTATGATTAATGCCTTTCCTTTTTTCTTATTTGAAAGAAAGATGCTGTGCAAAAACTGTAATGATGTAGACAGTTTTCCTCCTGCTCAGGGTCAAAGAGGCCCTGAAGACTGATATATGCTCAAAAATAAATCTCAGTGAAGTGAAAGTGGTTTAGAGCTTCTTTTGAGCAATTTTTTAAACACATCCTTGAAATTGAGGAACTGACAGCAGCACACGCTTTTTGTTAGTCCAGGTGTGCCCACATGTGAAAATGTTAAGAGCTATAAACTTACTGCAAATTATTTTCTGCACATTCCTCACATTCCTCCACTGTCTGTGTCCATTTCTGAACTGCATCTCCTCCGTGTTGGCAGTGATGGAGGCGAAAAGCTCTCAGAGACTGTGATCGAAATGTGGCCAGGACAGATGTGAGCTGATGGACAGGCTCTTACAGTTCTCCTTGGTTTTTTACTTAAAGGAATCTTTGGCAAATGCACTTATTCAATTGCTTGCAGAGAGTTAGATGAGAAGATTGATACCACTCACGTCTGTACAGTAAGTGTAGGATAGCGGGAGTGAGCAGATGGGTAGCTTAGCTTAGCATAAAGACTGGAAACAGGGAAACAGCTAGCCTGACTCTGCCCAAAGTAAATAAAAATCTACCTATCAACACCTCTAACGCTTACTAATTAACACATTTGTGGTCTTTAAACAGAGTCCGGTTAGCTGTTTCCATTCTTAACACTAAGCAAGCTAACATGCTGCTAGCTCCAGCAACATATTTACTGTACAGATGTGAGGGTGGTATCTAATTTTCTCATTTAACTTGCAGTTAAAATGCAAATAAGTGTTATTCCCAAAATATCTGACTATGGCTTCATACAGCAGGGATTCAACACACACCAAGAAGTGGGGCTACCAGAAATATTTAAAATGTTACGCCATAGCTAATTAATTGATCTCTTGCACCAACAATGTCTTTTGTTTTAAATGTAACCCCCTTCTTGTGCATTAGATACTCTAAAAAACTTGGCTTTCTGGCATATTTATTGTGACAGTATGTCTGAATATCTCTGGTATAAACTGACAAAAAACTGGAACTTATAGAAAAGATTTAAAGGGACAGTTCACCCCAAAACACATTTTTTCTTTTTCCTGTAGAGCTATTTATCAATCCAGATTGTTTCTGTGTGAGTTGCTAAGTAGAGTTGTACCGATACCGATACCAGTATCGGAAATACCTAAAATACGTAATCGGGTATCGGCAAGTACAGCCTACGACCAATCCGATACCACATAATGCCTCACGTCATTACGCATACACACACTACAGGCAAACGAAAAGGAAAAGGGAGCAGAGTTTAAAAAGCATTCTACTGTAGCCTTTAAAATGTCTTTTTTTTTTACCAAATTGTGTGGCTGCACTTTAACGTGTGTCTTGATCTGTGTCAACACTGGATGATAATAATAATAAAAAAAAGTTTTATGGCATTCATTCTACTATTATGTATTTATTTCTTAACATTTTACATAGAGTTTTAGGAGTTGAGACATACAACAATTCATATCCCATCCATTTTTATTTTTTTTATACATGCTGATATCGCATCGGTACTCGGTATCGGCAGATACCTAAGGTTCAGGGATCATAATCGGTATTGGGAAGGAAAACGTATCGGTACATCTCTATTGCTAAGTGTTTGAGATATTGGCCTTAGAGATGTCTGCCTTCTGTTGAGTATAATGGAACTAAATGGTACTCAGATTATGGTGTTTAAAGTGCCAAAAAGCACATTTGAAACACTCAACAGCAATGTCTCATTTCAGAAATCATGACCCAGTTACTCAAGATAATCCACAGACCTTAGGCCCGTTTCCACCGCAGGAACTTCAGGGTAATTTTACGGGGCTGGGGCCGTTGGTGCGTGTCTCCACCGCAGGAACCACCCCCAAAGGACAGAGATCCGGAACTTTTACGGGGGCTAAACAAGTCCCTGCCTCGGAGTAGGTACTCAGAGCGGCCCTGAAAGACTCCCGGCTGGGGCTTGGGGATTACTTGGTGCTGATTGGATATACTCAAGGAGGGATGTGATGTCAACAGAAAGCAACAAAATAGCCGGCATTTTTAAAACTCAGCAGACGAGGATTAGCTCGTTCATATAGCTTCCTCCGCCATGTAAAAAAAACTCACTAAATGGCCCGTGAAAAAAATATTCTTTCCAGCGGATATCTTAGTTACAACATGATTGAGCTAGCAAAGCAGTTTTGTGTTGCTATGTGTGGTATTTATTCAGTTATGGGAAATCACGATGTCTAGAAAGCATCAGTGGCTGCTGCTGACAGGGACAGCTAACAGCAGCAGCAAAGCTAACATCAGGACATCATCTGTTAAAAGCCTCCCGTTGTCGGATACGACATGAAACTACTCCAGATAGCTCAATCATGTTGTAACTAAGATATCCACTGGAATTTTTTATTTTTGTCACGGGCCATTTAGTGAGTTATTACAGACACCGCTAAGGGCTATCAGCTAACGGCGTCCCTACGTTGCCCCAGTAAATGGTCGCGCAACGATTACGTCACATCCAGAGCCCGTAACTTTACAGGAACCTTCCTCGTACTCCGCTCTCTCTCAGTGGAGACACGGCGGTTGAGAGGGCCGAGCGAGAGGACGTTCCTGTAGTAGTTCCTGCCCCCCAAATAGTACCAGGAACTTCTTCAGTGGAAACGGGCCTCTTGTTGTGAGCAGTTTCATGTAGGAACTATTTTTCTTCTACCGACCAACCATATCACCACTCAGAAGGAAGTGGTCATCTACTGCTAGCTCACCTAGCACCACTGAGCTAGCTAACGTTTCAACTCAGCTGAGGACACTATCAAAGTTTACATTTCACGCTGTCATAGACATGATCCTCTTGGCCGTGAGTATATGCACACTTCCTTCTGCACAGTGATAGGGTTGGTGGGTGTAGTTGGATATAAAGAAAATAGTTCCTACATGAAACTGCTCACATTAAGGTCTGTGGATTACTACTCATGGGCAAGTGGCTCATAGTTATGACAGCGTGAGATGTAAATATTCATGGCATCCTCCTCAGCTGAGCTATAACGTCAGCTAGCTCAGCGGTGTTAGGTGAGCTAGCAGTAGATGCACACTTCCTTCTGTGCGGCGATTTGGTTGGTGGGTGTAGTTCCCTAGAAAAATAGTTCCTACATGAAACTGCTCACAACAAGGTCTGTTGATTATCTTGAGTAAGCTGGTCATGATTTCTGGAAAGAGACATTGCTGTTGAGTTTTTCAAATGTATTTTTTTTTTTGGCGTTTTGAGCACCACAAGCTGAGTGCCATCTAGTTCCATTATATTTGATAGAAGGCAGACATCTCTACAGTCGATATCTCCAACACCCAGCAACTCTCACCAAAATAATCTAGATTAATACATAGCACTACAGGTAAGAGGAAAAATATGTTTTTTTTAATTTGAGGGTGAACTGTCCCTTTAAACTGCCATCAGATCACTCAATCATCATCTATGGAATTAAGTTGCAGCCTTCAAATGCTCTGTTTGCCTCACAAAAGGAAGCAATAACACTTCATATGACTCCTTTATATGATTTACCAGTAAGGGTTTACCAGCTATTTGAATTTCTACTTTTCGCTACATCACTTCTTGGACACATATTGTCCATCAGTCATGTGATTATTTCCATTACACTTAACAAATGTCAGGCATTTCCCTCCGAACATGATCAATGGGGAACCGCAGCTGCACATAAAGCAGTGGTATTATTTCTCTCGTGTTTGGAGTAGAGGTCGTGCCTAGTTCCACAGAGAAACCTATCATCTTTCATTAAGGCCAGCTCCGAGATCCAATCTGGCATCTGCTGCTCATTACCAACCTGGGGTGGTACATTTAACTCAAATATGTGCTGAGGAATCTATTTCACACTGGAAAAATAATGCAGATGTAATATTCTAACTTGGATTTACAGTTTTATTACAATTAGGTTTTCAAAAGGGGGTGAAGAGTCTATCTACATCTGCAATCAGATCATATTCACGTCATGATTTTCACTTCATGTGGTGTATTTGATGGACAGCTTTAACAACCCACACAGTGCTCAGCAGTTTCTGCACCTGACTGACGTACAGCACCACTGACTGGCTCACCTGAGGGCAATCTTTGATGTAATGGCCTTTGTTGAAGCAGAGGTGGCACAGGTAGTTGGGCGGCGGTCTTTTGCTGGGCTTGCGTGTCTCGGGGGACAGGGAGAGGTCTGAGAAATGGTCCGCCAGAGAGCTCAGGCCGTCCACGATATTGTTGAGGGACCCGTAGGGCGAGGAGCTCTTGTAGAAATTGTTGTTCAAGGCCTGTCAGAGAGAGAAAGATTATTGTTGTGCTGACTCTACAATGAAAGAGCATTCGAGGCAGCGTGTCAGTCCATCACCCTGATTGATTCTCCTGTTTGTGTCTGTGACAGTAGCCGACATTATTTCAGCTCTGCAGATGTGCTGCCCTTACTGCATTTACACTGTGGGGCCAATAGTATTCGTTTCCTCGTCCGAACAAAATGCCTTTGTCGTGCGTGCCTTTAACTTGTTGCATTGACATGGCACAATCAGCATCATTGTGCCTCTGGAGGAGACGGGTGCTATGGCACCGCAGGGGCAAACATGAAGAACAGCCTGCAGACACTGGCTGTTTACTCTGAAGGCATCACAGAAAGAGAATTGTGATCAGATGCACATGTGGGTAATGTTCTGCATGAGACATGAAACCACTGCATGTCTGCGGCATGTGTGCCATTACTGTACATTGTGTCATTTTTAAAATAAAAAGAGTGAATTTAAGTTAAAGCAGAGTAAATTTAGATTTAATTTGTGCCAACATTCAGAACTCAATTTTTAATGATCTACTTTTCCCTAAATGGGTCAGTATTAAATGAAGCAGCACTGAGTGAACACACTCCTCTGACCAAGCAGAGGCCGGCCAGGGTGAACTCTAACATTTTTAAAAAACCTTGTGAGAGGTCTTTCTCAACCTGCCATTCCCCCCTCCAGCTGCACACTGACACCAGAACAGTCTGAACACACTCAGGCACTATACCAGGGTACAAAACACATATTCATGTACTACCCACTCACCACAGTGCGACCCAATGAAGGCATGCAGGTGAGGTTTACTGTATGGGCAACCAAAATAACTGGAGTGAAATATGTGTCTTTCATATTCATCTAGGAGAGAGATGTTTGACATGCAGGAAGGGAAAAAAAAGATGAATGAGTGGACGAAAGTTTCAACAAAGCCATGCAAAGTGTTAATCAGGACTATGAGCGACATGAATTCTACCTCACTCCTCAGATGGAAGAAGTTGTTGAGATAGTTGGCGCTCAGATCAGCTGCGCTGCGCTTGGAGATGCTCATGTCCTGAGGAGCGGCGTCCGACTCGGCTTTGAACGCATCGAAAGTGCTGCTTTGAGTGTCTTGCAAAGACATATAGACCCAGTTGAGCAGCTGTGCAGGTTGGTACACGGGGGCACCAGTCTCTATAGCAGACATCATTTTGTTTTATGGAGGACTGCGCCTCTTGGAAACAGCACCGTCAGAACCGCCGGGTTTTCTGGATCACACAACTTCTTTCAGTCATCCCCCCTTGTTCGGGCTGTTGTATGGGTGTGATCCTTGTGTTCACCTGGGGGAGCCCCCGATGGACCCCAGTAACCGGACAACAGGCACGGGGGAGGGCGCACTGGAAGCATGAAGCGCAAAAGCCTGAATGCCAGAGGGAAGCGAGGAGCAGCGGCTCCAGCCAGGACTGTGCGCTGCGTCACAGCGGATAGGAGGTCCAACATGAGTTTGCATCTTTCTGCTTAACTTTAGCTACAGTAGGTATATATGAGAGGGGCACTGACTGTACAGAGGGCCTACTGTGATCTAAAATTATGTGTTATAAAGGAAGGGGGGGGGGGGGGGGTGGGGAATCATTTATAGACCTGGTTTATCAGACCCATATAGGTTTTTTAAAAAGTCATTTCAGCTTAAGAAAGCACTGGATTTCATAAAATGTTTACAAAAAAAAACTTTTTCTTTGTACTATTTGTTGTTTTTGACTTTTTGTTTTGTTTAATTTGTAATGTTTCTAAACTTTCTTGTACAAAAACAATATATAGGTCAGCCTTTTCTCACAGTTATACAGATGACTGATGTACAGCATAATGATTTTAAAGAAAGCTATGAAGGGATTTATGTTTGTTTTGATTGCAGTAACACAGTTTAATGAAAGGTAAAATTAGGAATAAATTGACGTTTCCCTCATTAGATTTAAGATTCACCATACGCTATACAAATTAAATTAAAAGAAAGAAAAAGCTAAAATAAAAAAGAGTTTTGAAAATTCCACACTTTATGTTGCCCGGGTCGACTGACATGAAACCATCCAGGTGTTTCTGAGGATGTCCACACTGACCATCAGTTATTTTTAATGTAAGCTTACTACACTAAGGGCCCATAGGCTGCAGCCTGGCATGCACGTCCTGACCACAAGCAGTCTGCTGCCATCTAGTGTTTGTTGTAGATACTGAGTGTTTGGCATAAAACAAATGTTGGGAATGGCTGCATGTTAAACATTTGAAAATATGTTAATGCCATCAGCCCTATGACTATTTAAAAAATGATGGTATTTATTGCCATTTAAGTTTTCAGGCACTTTCAAGACATAGACAAGGCATTTGATTTATTATAAGTAATCTAAATGATTTATGCAGAAAATACATGGCATTTTAAGAAAGTAATTTATTTTCTAAATATGAAATCATTATTTTTCAGAGATAGGCTACAAACTAAGTATATTAAGATACTAAGTCATTATTCGAAGACAAGTCATTATCTTGAGATACATTTTTTTTAAGATACTAACTCATAGACTGAGATACTAAGTCATTATTTTTGAGATATTAAGTCATTTTCATATCCTAACTCATCACTTTGCGATACTAACTCATTATTTCTTACTGTAACAAGAAACTTTCCAAAATAATAAGTTAAAGAAAACCATGACAATGACAAATTGTCTTAAAGTATCTCAAAAATAATGGGTCATTATTTTCAGAAAGTTTTGTTCTTTTATTTTTTGAATTACCCAACATTCTTTTCGAATATTAACCTATTATTTCAAGATACTAAGTAATTATTTTCAGATCCTAACTCGTATGCTGAGATATTTATTCATTATTTTGAGATATGTCTTTTTCATATACTAATTCATTATTTTAAAATACTAAGTTATTATTTTTGCGAAACTGAGTCAATATTTCTCATCATAACAAGAAACTTTCCAAAATTATGAGTTATCTTAAAAGAATGACTTAGTATCTCAAATTAATGAAAAACTTTCTTAAAATAATGAAAAACTTGTTCAAAACAATGACTAACTTATAATAATGACTAAGTTTCACTCTTTAAAAAAACTGTCATTCTTTTCAGGTACTAAGTGATTATTTTAGAGGTATGAAGTAATTTACATATACTAACTCGTAATTTTAAAATACTAAGTTGTTATTTTTGCAATAAGTCTTCATTTCTCATCGGAATGAGAAACTTTCCAAAATGATCAGTTATCTTAAAAGAACAACTTAGTATCTCAAAATCATGACAAACGTTTGTAAAGTATCTCAAAATAATGAGGAAAAACACTCACACGATTTTAGGATATAGATTTATTCATTGGATCACCAGTCATTCTTCTCAGATACTAACCCTTTATTTGAAGATACTAAGTTTTTTCTTTTTTCTTGAGAAACTTAAGTCACTTTGAGAAAGTTTCTCATTATTTTCAGATAAGAAATCATTGTTTTTAAGATACTAACTCATTATTTTGTGATACTAAGTCATTATTTCGAGAAAGTTTCTCATTATGACTTTTAGAGGATTTTTTTCCCCCCCAAATGACATTGGCACAAATGGGCTTCCATACAGAGGCTGTAAGGAAGCAGAATCAAGTTTCACAAAACATTTTTGTTTAACAAATCCTTATCCACAATGCCTTGCCCTGTGTTGTCACCATGGAAACAAATCTAATCACATCCTGACAAGTATTGCAGTGTGGTGTGTGGTGAAAATAACAGGTTAGAGGCGGCTGAGTCAACATCAGACTTTATCCCTCTGACTGGGGCCAATAACGGAGCAAAGGTTATTACTGCAGCAGGACGGAAACAATGCTGAGGACCCACCCACCTCTGAGGCTGCTCTCTCTGCTGCTCTCTGCTACGCTCTTCCTGGATCTCAAGTCCGCAGCTGATAAGTAAGTAGCTTTAAATATTCTGTTTAGCGCTGTAAATATCACCGAATACCGCCAAATATCAGTTTGAGGCGACAACGCAGTTTGGACGAAGTAACAGTTGAGCGGTTTCTGCTAGCTTAGTGAGGAATGTAGGAGATTAGCCTCGCCCAATTAAACAGACACAGTGTGTCCGTGTGGAGCTGCTCAACAGCAACAAACGATACTTTCTTCATTGTTAAAGTCCTAAAATGGCGCACTGGTGCTTTTAACTGTCTCCAGCTAACGTGATAAACGGCTATCCACAGTTTGTGTTAGCTAAGGATGCTAAATGTGAAACAGTAACTTCGTCTGGAAGCATTATGCAACGTTAACGGACCGCAGGGTGGATGGTACAAACTCTAGGACATCGTGACCATCGTGACAGTGGGGTGGGACATCTAGCTTAATAAGGGCGTTATACTCATATTACACCTTATTATTGCATCTTATTATTGTCGACAAATATAATTAGTGTACTTTAAAATGCTGGTTAGCAAGTTATGAAAACAGGCCGGTGATTCTCTGTCAGATTTGGGCTTTTGCTGCTTTCAAGTGCTCTACGTAAAAAGCAGGAAGTGTAAACATATATTTTTTAGGACTTTGTTTTTATTTAACTCATATTGAAGAACATACAAGCACTTGTAGTAAATACATAAAATACAATAAAATGTACACAATCAGAACGGATAAAGAAAATAAATTAAAACATGTTAGATTTATATTAAAAAATATAAATAACAGTAATTTCTTGGTCACATGACATATGATTCGTTTTAAACAAAAAGCACAAAGCGAAACAAGACTTAAAATATGATGCATTAGTAAATTAAAATGATTTAAAAACAAGATACATCCAAAAAGATCATAACTAACGTTAAAACAGCGACTCACTTATCTAAAAAAAAAAAAAAAAAAGAAGACCAACTTTGTTATAGTATTGACTTTATATCTCAAAATAACGACATGATACTAAGTCATTATTTGAGAAAGTTTCATATTATTTTTAGATATAAAATCATTGTTTTCAGATTGGCTACTGAGTATTTTAAAAGTCATTATGTTGAGATGCATCATTATTTCATGATACTAACTCATATGCTGAGATACTAAGTCATTATTATGAGATACAAACTCATCATTTATGCAATTATTTTCTCATTATAATGAGAGCGTTTCCAAAATAATGAGCAGCCTTAAAAGAATGACTTAGTCTCTCAAAATATTGAAAAACTTTCTCAAAACAATGACTTAGTTATCTTATAATAATGACTTAGTATCTTGAAATAATAAGTCATTATTTGAAACAAAAAACAAAAAGCAGAGCAAGACTTTGAACAATATGATGCATTAATAAAATAAGATAATAAAAAAAACAAGATACATCCCAAAAGATCTTTCTTACTATTGCACTTTTTTAAGTGATAAGAAAAATAATTCAGAATAATTAAAAAAAAAACAAACGAAGGAGGGCTTATTGTTCTTCCATTTTGTACCATGTAGGCTATATGATATTCACCTATAAGAATGATCATATCAGTCACATCAGAAACAGATGAGTTTAAATTCACCATGTTATTATTATTAATAATAATAATAATAATAATGATAATTTCTAAAGCACTTCACAAAACAGTGTTACAAAGTGCTTTACGTGTCATTATTAAAACAGACAAGACATGGAAACAACTTTTTAAAGAATTGATAAAACACTTTAGTGTATAAAAACTGAGGAAATGAAAGACAGTCTAAATCAGGGGTGTCCAGAGGTCAGAACTGGCCCACCAAAGGGTCTAATCCACTGGATGACCTTGCACACCTAATAGTGATGCACTTGTAAAGGCTAGGGGCTGCCAGGTTTCAGGAGCAAGTTAAACATTGAATAGCATTCTTCATGTAACATGCTGGGGGAGTTGGAGATGTCTGTTATTTGTAGGATACTAGATAATGGCTTTACTGCCGAGTCAAATTCCCTGTAGGTGCAAAAGTACTTGGCAATAAAACAGAGTTGGAATGTCATTTATTTTAAGTGATATTATTTTACCCAAATCTTCTGGAAGTAGCATGAGAAAAACATGTTTTGTGTGTCACATTATAAAAGGTACAAGGGTCCACTTTAAAGTGAGTGTAAATATGCACATACTGGCACTAAAAGGGTCATGATGTGGAAACTTTATGAACAGCATGATACTAGCAATCTGTTGGTTACTGATTTGCTGTAGAAATCGATGTCCGCAACTTTATTTACAGCCCTTTACAGGGTAAAAAAGAAATAGCAATGCAACAAACAAAACTGTTCGACATTGTTAACTGCTGGAATGATTGTTATGTCAAGTATGAACGACTCTACTGATTCCACTCGTATCTATTTCATCCTTGAGTCGTAAATGTGAGTGGAAATACTGGTACTTAAGACTCACCACTGCCTTCAAGGGTCCAAAGGAGAGGGCTGGAAAGCAACAGGGAAATGTAAACAATCAAACACCCTTCCTGAGGTCACGGCTGACACAGTGTGTTTGCGTCTGCTTAAAGAATTCAGTGGTGCATCTTTGAATAAAAAATGAGAAAATCTAAACTAAACTCTGTAGGTCTTTGTTAGCCTAAATAAAACTCTAAATTATTGTGTTTGCGGAGCCAAACAGTGGAGTATCTGTAACTTAAGTTGCCTTTACACTGTAAGGGAAAACTGATCCTGCACAGGCTGTAGGTCACTGTGTTGTCAAAAAACAAACGTTGTTTACTCCCAGCTTTTTGTGTGCATGTAACCCAGGTGTGTTTACAGTCTGCTAGATTATCATTCATTACGGCTGACAGACCTGCAGCTGTAATTAGTGTTTTGCTTCATTATGGGATGACACAGAGACACTCAGACAATTGCGCAATTCCAACAACAGCCTGTCAAATGGACCCCTAATGTGAAACTGAAAAGATTCAGGCGCCATTGCTGGTTTGAATTGTGCAGTGGTGGTAGAGAAAGGGGAAGGAAAACTTTCTGTTGTCGTAATAGAAATGTGGTGTGATCTGCAAGAGACTCAAGTGAGGTCGTTGTCTTAAGTTGCAGCTCATTCATTATACAGAAGTTGTGGTTGGAATGTTGAGCATTTTATTATGATGACACCAAAAGGGTGCAGGCCAGGGTCGAAGGGGTGGATATCTGTTTGTGTTATTTTTGGAAAACTTGGAGTTGAAAAGGAAGAAGAGTTGTTAATGATGCATTAGCTGATGCTAGATAGTTCTCAGTTCGGTGTTTTGATGTTGGCCTTTTTCACTAAATGGTTGGGTAACTACTCTAGGAACTAAACTGGAGACTTGATGTCCCCTTTACATGTTCCTGTTTGTGTCACTTTATCAGAATAACAATGGAGACTGAGCAAATTGGGGCTGGGCGATATAACGATTATGCACGGTATATCAATGTATTTTCAAGTAAAATAAAAATTTAGACAACACTGTATCGATATAGGGTCAAGTTGCGTTACACTAAGAGAGACGTAGAGCTGCTCCTCTGTTTAATCTGTCTGTTAATTAGTCTACAGTGACATCAGTCTGTATGTTGCACAAGCTACGCTAAATCAGTCTTTGAGATGAATGAAGTTACCTCACATGCACAATACCGTGGGCCTTTTCCACTGACACTTTTGGCCGCCCCGAGTCAAGCCACACTGCGCCGATTAGTGTTTCCATCATCAGTTAAGACGCGCTGTTGCACGTCGAGCTGTGCCAGAGATGGACCTTCTCCAGAGTAGGTCCAAAAGCCAGGCGGGTAATGGTGAAGTCTTGCTGACCGCAGCCAACTCCTGACGACCCCGCTTGTGTTAGGAGACCCTGTTCAGCTCTGTCTGCAGGAGACCAGAGAGTTTAAAAGCCTCTGTGTGTTCATCTCTCAGTACTTTTGTAGCTTCTAATTGAATCTCTGTGGTTTGGAGTTTAGTTTCTCTCCTGCATCCTGTTTTTACTTTAGATATCTGTTTCATTTTACTGTTACATGTTTGCTATCAGCCACATTAGAGGTTATGTGAAGTTGCTGCTCGAAAACTCAACAATTCCTTATTTTGCTGCTTCACAATAAAAGTTTTTACACTATACAATAATGGGGGACTTTTGTTGTGAAGAACCTATAGGAAATGAAATGTGTTTATCACTATGTATGAGCCATTCAGTCTGAAAATATAGAGGTATGAAAATTTGTCCATATCGCCCAGCCCTAGAACAAATTACAGGAGGAACTAAAGTTTAACCTAAATTTCTCTGTGCTTCTTTTAAAAGGTTAGGGTCAAAAAGAACAACATATCCTCATACAACATATTGTATAATACCTTACAAAAACGCACATACATTGGTTCATACGATATCTAACGAATTAGCACCCCATGAATGACGTTGTCATGCTACGTAGTTAATTTCAAGTTATGTACTTGATGTTGCATACCAAACATAAAGTTACGTAGGTTAGGTTTATAAAAAGAAAAATTGTGACGATGTACCTTAAAAATAACTCAAAGATCACTTGACTTCACACGGGACACAAACACCAATCTCTTCAGGGAAAGTCCTGTGCATGTTTGAACCATCCACCTCCCTAATCTGCCTCTTAACGCAAATTTTCACTTTTTATACTACTTCCTTCTTTACTTCTGTCAGCGCATTGGTCATGTGATTACAGCCTTCCCAATGACAAGGGTACTTTTCGTAGGTATACATACCAACAGTGTATGAGAACAGCCTGAAAAGAGCCATATAATGGCCTTCAAATATCACTGTAACAAGCCACAACTTTATGTCTCCCCCAGGTTCTAAAGATGAGCTACCCAGGATACCCTCCTCAGTCCGGTGGATACCCACCACAGGCAGGAGGTTATCCACCTCAACAAGGGGGCTATCCACCTCAACAAGGGGGGTATCCACCCCAAGCAGGCGGCTACCCACCCCAAGCAGGCGGCTACCCTCCCCAAGCAGGCGGCTACCCTCCTGCAGCAGGTGGCTACCCCCCACAGGCAGGCGGCTACCCACCCCAAGCTGGCGGCTACCCTCCCACAGCAGGCGGTTACCCTCCAGCAGCAGGAGGCTACCCTCCCCAGGCAGGTGGCTACCCTGCACCAGCTGGAGGCTTCCCTCCTCAGGCAGGAGGATACCCAGCACAGTCTGGCGCAGGAGGCTATCCCTCCATGCCTCCAGGAGGTGAGTGATGAAGATTAACATTTACATAATATATTTCTCCCCACAAATATATGTATATATGCAGCCAGTGGAATCTGTTCTTTAAATGAATTTTGTTTTGAGTGCTATGTCAATGTTTTCTCTGCAGGTGGAGGCTGGGGTGCAGCACCAGGCGGCCAAGGAGCGGTACATGAATTCTTATCTCTCTTGTCACCTCTGCAAGGCCACATCACTAATAACATATGGACTAACTTTAGCTAAATCCCCTGTTTGCTCAAAGCCCCTTATCTCCTACTTAAACCTTAGGAATTTGCTCTATATGAAGTTTGTCACCATGGACTTAGCACTTACAGCTGTCCTCTGTTTGCAGCCAGGAGGGGCTCAGCAAGGATACCCAGGGGGCCCCGCTCCAGGCCAGCCCATGCCAAGTTACCCCGCGACTAGTCCCCAGATGCCTGCGTATGGAGGCGGAGTTCCATCCAACCCTCAGGCACCTGCCATTTCTGTAAGATGTGTTTGTCTTCATGCTAGAACTTCTCTCAAACTATGTTCCAATGTATTTTATCTTCTAACATTTTTGACTTTATTTATTTACAGAAAGGATACAGGGGCTCTATAAAAGACTTTCCAGGGGCCGATCCACTCAGGGACGTTGAGGTCCTTCGAAAAGCTATGAAGGGTTTTGGTCAGTAAATGGTGCTCATTTGAACATTTGATTAGCACTGTATTTGCTCCGTCCCTTTTACACATAAACTGAAAAATATCTCCAAAAGGCACTGATGAAAACGCCATTATTGAACTCCTGGGAAGTCGTACCAACAAGCAGAGAGTCCCAATGGTAGCAGCCTATAAAACAACTTATGGGAAGGTATATTTTTTTATTTTTGTTGCAGAGTTTTTGTTTACTCTACAGTTAAAATTCAGTCTGTAATCTGCTCTTTATCACTGACCCTGTCTGGCAGCTACAGTATATTTAGCCCGACCTTGCTCTCATGTTTTTTCCCTTTGTGTTTTTCCTCTTAGGATTTAATCCACGATCTGAAGTCTGAGCTCACTGGAAACTTTGAGAAGCTGGCTCTTGCCATGCTGAAGAGCCCTGCGTACTTCGATGCATCTGAACTCAGAGAGGCTATAAAGGTTGGAAACTCAAGTCAGTTCAGTTTTGGTTTTGTAGGCCAAACCGCATTGTGTGACTCATCATGTAATGGGAAATAAGAGAAAAAATAATCTTCTAAATGCAAGTGAAAACCAGACAAGCTTGAGTCGTGGCTGACAACGTCTTACTGTTCACCATTTTGACTCCATGGAGCAGGTGTGTCATTAAATGTCTTGCTGAGGTTTTCTTTATTTTCGCAGGGTGCAGGAACTGATGAAGCTTGTCTGATTGAGGTTCTTTCATCACGCTCCAATGCAGAAATCAATGAAATCACCAGAGTCTACAAAGCTGGTGAGTCCTGAGCATGATGTTTTTTTGCCCACAGTTTTATTCATTACATTTTTTAGGGCACACGTAAATCAGTCCAGTGTCAATGTCCATTTCCAGACCAGTATATACACACAAGTAAAACCACTGTTCATGGAGACGGAGAGATAGTAATAGTGATAATAAAAATTACGGAAAAATAACCAAATTAAATAGATATTATAATAATAGTAATAATAATAATAATAACACTATAGAAATAAAATAAATAAATAATATGAAAATAAAATAAAATAGAGAGATGGTAATAGTGATAATGAAAATTAAGGGAAAAAGACCAAATTAAATAGATACATTTATAATACTAATAGTAATTATATAGAAATAAAACTTAATAAACAAATATAAAAATGAAATAAAGAGATAGTAACAGTGATATAAGAAATTAAGGAAAAATACCAAATTAAATAGATAAGATAATAATAATAATAATAATAATAATAATATAGAGATAAAATTAAATAAATAAAAAAAATGAAATAAAATGGAGAGATGATATAATGCTATGATGTTTTAAACTGTATATTTTTAATAACATTTTAGATTGACATGTAAAAGCCCAACTAGGGACAAGAGTTGAAAATCAGCAATAGCTATAAACTCTGCAACACATCAGTCCTATACTCAGTATTGGAACTATGTTAAATTGCATCGTCCCTATCACAAAATAAAAAAATAAAAAAAAGAAATAAAATAAAATAACATAGAATAAAATAAAAGTAATAGTGATACAATTAAAAAAATAATAAATTTTAAAAAATATACAGAAAAAACTGACAATACCACACATGTTCTTAAAGGAAAAGTAAGTTGGTAAATGTAAACCCTGACTTAAGAGTTCATTAAAAAAAGACAACACAACAACAAACGCAAGTATGTCTCACATAATCAGAGGCCTGTCAACACCTTGACCTCTGACAAGTCAGATTACTGAAGAAAAAAGTTAGCCAGAGTTTCAGCCATTCATGTATCTGATGATGTCACTTGTAATTAACACCCCCACCTCTTTTACATGAACGCGCTCATGTCTGGACAGGAAAACCAAGGGTTTACTGAACTGGTTGATAACCAGCTTTGTAGTACTGGTTATGTTAGGGTTAGTCAAACCAGATAACGAAAGGATACCCTGGGTAAGTTGAACTGGCTTCATTGTACAGGCCTCTGGTCACTCATTAGAGACTACATTTAAATATTTATTTTTTATTTTATCTTTATTTAAGTTTAAGTCAACTGAGAACCAGAGTAAAACAATATATTTGTAATGTAGAATCTGACCACATAAATAGTAAGTGTAGTCAACAGCCTGTATTTGAAGAGTTTAAGATATATTCACAATGCAGTATGGGCTCTTGTTTCATAAAATCAAATTACTGATGAAGTAGTGTGAGTCTTTCTAGTGTTAGAATTCAAACACCTGTAAATCAGTATGAAAGTTACAGCAAAAAAATGTTTTGATTTTACGTAGGGCAACAACTCTTGTTTGTACTTGGAAGATGGATGCTGAAAAAGCAGTGTCTAAACAAAATGCAAATATAATGCAAATGAATATATTTTCCTAAAAAAAAAGCCACTCCCTTCTTCAGAGTACGGGAAGAGCCTGGAGGACGCCATCAGCAGTGACACCTCCGGTCACTTCCGCAGACTGCTCGTCTCCCTCTGTCAGGTCGGTGCTGCACGTACTACACCTGACTCACAATGAGCTCTCTCAAAATAGACTTAAGCTCATGTCAGCTTCAAGTGTTGACTCTGACAACGCACTCCGCCCTCGTAATGTGTTTCTAATGAGCACGACATATCTTACTCTATCTAGGGAAACCGTGACGAAAGAGAGACTGTTGACATCTCACTGGCCAAACAGGACGCTCAGGTACCGGTTTGAAGTTGGCTCGCGGTTGTAACATTCTTGGAAAATAATTAGCAAGCCTGATCATGTTCCTCTTTTTAATTTCTGTGTGTGTGTGTCTGCATGGGCAACAGAAACTGTACGCTGCCGGGGAGAATAAAGTAGGAACTGATGAGTCCCAGTTTAACGCCATCCTGTGCGCTCGCAGCAAGCCTCACCTCCGGGCAGGTGTGTAATATCAACATGAACTTTCACAAGATTACTTCTCTTCCTCCCTCACTGTATGACTTCTGCTTTTCCAGGGTCATAACCTCACATGTTGGCCTTTTAATGCACTTTTGCACATATTGTCAAATATTATGACTGTAACCGTCTCGTCTGTGATTCCTGTCTTTAATAGTCTTCCAGGAGTACCAGCAAATGTGTGGGAGAGACATCGAGAAGAGCATCTGCAGGGAAATGTCTGGCAATGTGGAGTCTGGCATGGTGGCTGTGGGTACGTTCTTTGGGTCTCTTTGCCAAACCTCAACCAAACTGAAGTGGCTTTCCAAAAACATGTTGAAGCTTTAAATATACATGGAAGACATTTGTCAAGATGTTTGTTTGGAAGGGCTAAAAATATCTTGCTCTTCGACCTTAATACCTTTTTGAAACTTGATGGTTGATCAAAAGCAAATGATGGATTGAAAACTCTCTAAGTAAGTCATTTTAAAAATAGAAAATGTGTACGACAGCCACATCAGAATACAGTTATTAACAGACAGTCATTTTAGGAGTATTATAAACGCACTGAGTCAGATTTCAGTTTATCATGTTGCCATAGTGCCAACAAATTTTTTGTAGATGTGCAACCAGTAGATTTGGTTGCAGTTGCGCAATGCACTTACGTTATTACAAATACAGGCCACACCTAAAATAATTTGACACCCAATTACAGCAAACATAAATGCTAAGGTGACTTAGGCCTCGATCACACAGACAGTGTTCTGCAGGTTGTACAACGCAAGGTACAATGCACTGCCTTTTTTTTAATTGAATGCCACTAGTAAAAAAAAACAAACAAGGCTTTCTGCACCTTTTTATTGTTGCAAGGCAACCACCCCATCACGTCCTTATACTAACCTTCTCGTGTAATCAATCTACTCTTTTGTTTTTTTAATTTCTCGGTAATTAGTATCTAGTTCCTAAAATGTTTCAGGCAGAGGGTACTTGCTGTAGCTCTGGTTGAGGGTGAGAGGCTGACAGTAAATAGTTTGTTGGGCACAGGGAAACAGAGATCTGTGTGGGTACATGAGACCCTTAAAAAGAGAGTGGATCATGGGGAGAACCACCAGTTGGTCCAGGAGCTTCGTCTCCATGATGGCTGTTTCCAGGGATATTTTAGGATGACTCAGGGGCAGTTTGACAACCTGCTGTCTATCGTTGGGCCGTATAGCTCTGGGTATCCAGCAACCACTACCACCAGTTTCTCCTCCATTGTTTACCAACTGTAAAGTTGTTGTTGTGACGATCGCAGAAGGCCAGCCTCTCACAGCATCCGATTGGACAATAGGAAAAAATGGGGGGATGTGGAGCGCTTTTTCGCTCTGAGTTGAAGTTTTTTAAACTCAAGGAGTTCAGATTGCTTCAACAAAAACACCAGGCGCCTAGAGTGCAGAAACATGAGGCACATAGCAACGCAAAAACTGCGAGCAAAAAGCTTCATTCTCATTAAAATGATTACAAAACACCGCCTCCATCTGCTGAAACGCTTTCTGTGTGATCAGGGCTGTAGAGTGACTTTATAAGTGTGCTGTTTGCAGGTCTGTAGTATGACTGTTACACCATACCGACCAGTCTTTGTACAGAGTGTTTTGTTTTATTACCTTTATTTACTGCTGTATTGCCAGTTGTATGTCTATATCTCTTTGGTTCAAATACAGTGGAAACTGCTTATAGTGATCATGTTAACAGTGATGAACTGTTTATATGGATCAAAAAGGGACAGAATCGTTCCTATAAAAATGCTTTTTAATAATTCCCTTATTGTAACCAACTAGTCAGCTAACAGAGTTCACCGTGGATCTTTGCATACATGACAACATAGGGACAACTACACAGGTTGATTTTAGCGCTGGTCATCGTGTACTATATTGCTGTCATTGTTCATTTTAGTCATGTGACTGCAGTTGGTTCAGATCGAGGTCGGAACACATTCTCACCACAAACGAACCGCACCAGAGTTCATTTGTAAGCGGACCGAGACCACCTCTTCAAGAAGGTCTTGGTCCGGTTGTTTTGGTGCACACCCGAGTGTGATTGCTGTGTTCACACCTGCCCAAACGAACCGCACTTAGGGGGCGAAATGAACTTGAGTTTGATTGAACCGAACCAAACGGGGCAGGTGTGAAAGCAGTTAGAGTACCTTTTGAGAAGTTACATCTGTTACAGATATCAAACAGACACATTGTGGTAATCTTTACTGTAAAATAATCTCTAATGCTCTTTTTTCTAGTGAAATGCATCAAGAACACTCCCGCCTACTTTGCAGAGCGGCTCCACAAGGCCATGAAGGTACACCGATCATCTATCCAACACATTTTAATCTAATTATCACAAACCAACTGTTTCCTGCCCTGATGGTGTCAGGTGGGGAGGCAGAGGAGAAGATTTCACTGCCGCAGTCAGTCAAAGTGTCATGTTGTGATGTGTTGACAGGGAGCAGGGACCAAGGACACCACCCTAATCCGCATCATGGTGTCCCGCTCTGAGATAGACATGTTGGACATCAGACAGGCGTATCTGCAGAGTTACGGAAAATCACTGTACACTGACATCTCGGTAAGTCCCTCTAACCACGTTAACATGACAGCCACTATTTCAGTTGTCCTGTTTTTATGTAAGACATTCAAAACTGACTTTGACTTTGCTTCGTTGTCGTCAGGGTGACACCTCTGGTGATTACAAGAAGCTGCTGCTCAAGCTGTGTGGAGGTAGCGACTAAAGGAAAGGAAGACGAGTCTTCGTAAGGACAAACCATATGTCCACACTGAATTGATGTTATAGGACCGTATATCACATCTGATGCATGCAGTAAAAGTTTTCCTATGACACCAGTCAATCACTATTACTTTTGTATTCTTTGCAGTGACACGATAGATATTTTTGCCACTGTATTGTAGATGATGCCAAATAGTAAATATATATTAGTATGAAGGTTTTTTTAAAAACAGTACATGTCACTAATGGGTAAAAGATGGAGTCCTAAAGCAAAAAGTGGGTGCTGAAAATCTCATACTTGATTAAGAAATTAAATATATAACTAAACTAACTTTATTATAGAATTTAAAGCCTCTAAAATGCAAGTAACATGAACGATTATTTGGAGGAGCGGTAGAGTTTAAGAAAAACTAAACAGAACAAGGTGAGTGTCTCATTTATCTAACATACAAAGTATACAAGGAAATATTTAGCACATTATACATGCATTATATCTGTGTTACTGAGGTAAAGTCCACCTCACCGCCAAGCAATTCAACTGTGTACATGTGAATATATACAGTGTCGTGTGAGACTATTATGCAAGTTTTCGCAAATTGTCTATGACTGAATCTCTCAGAGAATACATATGAGCATTTAGTGGGTGTTAAACAGGCCACAGTTAAGTTCCAGGTTGTTTGTGAATGTAAGAAATAATCTGCTAAAGGCGTCTCCTTTATCTTTTAAAGTGTCCATATTTACTAACCAGATTTGTACTTCTAGTCCTGCTTGCAAGTCTATGCAAATGAGCTTGTTCACTTTATATCAGCTTTATGAAACTCCTCTGTGCTGTTGTTGAAATTTAAACCATTGCAATCATAGTTCAACATTTGCAGCAACTACGTTTACACGCACAAAATATTCCAAATTTTGCCCTCTAATTAGATAAAGACAATATTTCATTCATATTTTATTTACATGACACAGTCTTGCTAACGTTTGGCTAGTTGGTTTGTGTACAACGCATCTATGACAATGCACGGGGCCAACTGCGGTAAAAACTCGCAGGAGGGCTGGAGCTTATCCCAGCTGACATTGGGCGGGAGGGGGGTACACCCTGGACAGGTCACCATATTTTCGCAGGGTTTACACATAGAGACAGACAGCCATTCACACTCACATTGACACCTACGGGCAATTTAGAGTCACCAATTAGCCTGCGTGTCTTTGGACTGTGGGAGGAAGCCGGAGTACCCTGAGAAAACCCACACTGACACGGGGAGAACATGCAAACTCCACACAGAAGGGCGTTCCCAATAATGCTCCAAAAACTGGAATAATACCAGCATATTCCATGCGTCAATCAGAAATTGCTTGGATTAACTCCTAATTCGGAATATACGAATGTCCTGTATCAAATTCAGAATATTGTCATATAATCGTGCTAAAAGTGGAATATTAGTGTGCGTGTAAACGTAGTTCATGTTGCCTTTTCTCTGAATGCTGAAAAGCCAAAGCCTAAAGACAGATTATGTTGTGCCTTTCGTCCAGGGCTGCTGTTACTGAGCTAGTCGCTGTTTCACTGTGGTTTATCCTGCAAACAATCTATAATCATACCTGCATGGCTGCAGATCTATTTCTCACACTGTTTATTTCTCAGTATTTGGTGTTTTTTTACAGTTCTTTACTGGTTTGTATGTTGTGCTGCCAGTAGAGGGCTCTTGAGTCACATGAAGTGTCATCTCATGTTCTGCCTTAGAGTTTGAACTGAATATCTGTTGCACTAACTCCTCTTCGCAGTCATTCTTGTAACATGATGACGGTTGAAATATAGTTTTCTAACATTTCACCATGTGATAGTCCCGGTCTTTTGAAATGTACAAACAGCCACTTTTAATTTCAATAATAAAAAAACATTTTGGCATATCTGGATTGTCTTTGTGAAATGGGATCGTGTGTTTTGCATGAAACATTGTTGGATGTTCTGCTCTCAGCCGGCGCACAATGAGCGGATTTGCATTTCAAAGCCAGCCTCATTTTCACCACCTTGGTCTGTATTACAGCGAGTGAGCCAACCCCCCCACTCCAACACACTCCTGTCCTCAGAGCATCTCAAGCTGCACGTTTTTGCTAAAAGGTGCGAGTAATGTGGCTTACGTAAGTGAAGTCTGTGCGTGTGCTTTGCTGTAAAATCTAAGAGAGGGAGAACATGTCCAGGTTTGCTTTGCTGCTCCAGTGATAGGGCACAGAGAGCTTTTCTCAAGGCTATAAATAGTGTCCATATTGGAGACACGGATGTCCTAAAGTCTTCTCTCTGTTGTGCTCACTGGCCTCAAAGTGCGGCCTCAGAGGAGCTGTGATGGGGAGACAAATGCCTTCACAGAGCTTCTTTTCTCCCACACCTTCGCCACTTCACTACTTCTCATGCGCGCTCAAAGTGAAAAGCCCCCACCAGCCAGGGGGACAAAGAGGGATGAATATTTGATGTTGGTATTTGTGTACTTTTCTCTCTAGTCGAGACTGTTTGCCGTGATACCTCCCGAAATATATAGGTCAAAAGGAAATCAGTGGGGCCTCCCATTTGGCTTGCTTTTACTTTTAGAGACAAAACAGAGCACTTCCCTGATCCTGATTTCTAGAAAAAGTGCTTTAATTATTTACATGTGGACTTGGTAGCAGGATGCTGCACCCTTTCTGGGGCTTGAAACACACAGATGCAAGGGATGCACTGACTTATTGGAGATGTCAGACACGTGCACATGGGAGTTGTGTCATTCAGCAGCCTGTGTGTCATCAGTATGAGTGGGACATGGGAGCTGTGAAGGTCAGCCTTTGATTAGCCCTCACACTTCCCATCACACCCCTGGAGCTTCCTCTTCTCTGACAATATAAAGGATTTGGTTTTGAATTTTGAGTTACTCATCACAAGAAAATGTGACTCAAATCTCAAAAAACACGGACTGTAAGAAGTTGAAAGCTGTAGGGGAGACCTTTGACAGTTAATAACAACTGCATGAAAGATAACCAACAGGTTTCGTGACGACGCTGATTCATTTATATCAGAATTGCAGTACGCATTTGTTTGGAACTGGTGGCGCCCCCTACGGAACATATCCTGTAAGTTTTGTAGTGATCGTACAAAAAAATGTCTGACTCACAGTCTAATTTATGTGTTGCCACGCTCATTTTTTAAAATTTGTAGCACTCTAGTGTTCAGTTTGAATGAAACTTTCAGTGTATGTTCCAAATACTTATGTGGACATATCCTGCAAGTTTTGTGATGATTGGCCCAATGATTGCGAATTTAGGTCCATTTATATGCTAAGCCACACCCCTTATAAAGTTCATCAGTCAGACCTCAGTATCTTCAAAATGCAATGAGACATCAACAAGATTTTGCTAACTTTAAATTAGGTTAGTCCAATAAAGATCCACAGAGAATTTGGTACCAATAGGACCTAGGGTTTAGGAGTAGATGAAAAACTGTGTTTTTCAAAAAAAATTCTAAATGATGTGGTGGTGCCCCCTGTTGAGCAATTTCAAAATAATTTTACACATTTGGTTCAACATTATTATGTTACATATATTTTAAGGTTTTTAATGTTTGGACAATCAATGTCTGACTTTTAGTCCAATTTGTGTTGTGATGCGCCTTTTTGTAGCGCCCCCTAGTGCTCGATTTGAATTAAACTTTCAGGGTATATTTGAGGTACTTATGTGGACATTTCCTGCAATTTTGTGATGATTAGCCCAACAATCGAAGGGTTAAGTCCATTAATATGCTAAGCCACACCCCTTCTAAAGTTTATTGGTCAATGGTCAATATCTATAAAACACAATGAGATATCAACAAGATTTTCTTGACTTTTCATAAGCTTGGTCCAGTTATAATCCTTAGAAAAATGGATGAAGTTCAGACCTACGGTTTAGGAGGTGATGTAAAAAATGTGTTTTTCAATAAAATCTAAATCGCGTTGTGGTGCCCCCTATTGGCCGATTTCAAAATAATTTTACACACTTGGTTCAACTTTGTTATTTCACATATCCTGCAAGTTTTGTAATTATTGGACAAACAATGTGTGATTTATAGTCTGATTTGTGTTATACTATGCCCATTTTTTGGAATTTGTAGCACCACCTATGGTCAATTTAAATCAAACTTTCATGGTATATTTCAGGTGCTTATGTGGACATTTCATACAAGTTTCGTGATGATTGGCCTAAAAATCACGGAGTTAGGTCCATTAAGCCCCTTTTAAAGCTCATCATCAATGGTCAATATCTTCAAAACACAATGAGATATCAACAAGATTTTGATAACTTTTAATAAGCTAGTCCAATAAAGAGCCACAGAAAATTTGGTATGAATAGGACGTGCAATTTAGGAGGCAATGTCAAAAATGCGTTTTCAACAAAATCAATATTGTATTGTGGTGCCCCCTATTGGATGATTTCAAAATAATTTTATTATTTCAAATATCCTGTAAGTTTTTCCTGCAAGTGTCTTGATGATTGGCCCTCCAGTTAGGGGTTAAGTCAATTTATGTGCAGAGCCACACCCCCATTGAAGTTCTTTGGTTAATATCTATCAACAAGCATTTTGTTGAGCTTTGTCCAGTAAAGGTCCACAGAAACATTTGGTAGTAATCAGACCAAAGGTTTAGGAGGAATGTTAAAAATTCAAAATGGTGGACAATCTAGTAAGGCAGACTTAAATTGTTCTTGAGGCTTTTTTTGTAAAGTACATGGAAGTGGACCTGTTGACCTTTAATAATAGCACCCCCATCAGGCCAACTGGGGTTATATTTCTTGTGCAGCATTTGCACCCAACACCCAGTCATTAGTGAAAATTTCATGTGTTTATGGCCATCTTACAGAAATTTGCAAAAAAAATTCTGAAGAAAAATAATAATAAATCAGTGCAAAAACAAAAAACTTTTGACAATGTATGTTTCACTCTAGAGTTTTTTAAATGTTTGGTTGACAAATGATCCCTGTTTTGTTTTATATTTTAATTTTGAAGGAAAATCCCACTAAAGACACAAAGAATGCAGAGAAAAAATACCTGAATGAAGCATTCTCAGAGCTGATGTACTGTTTCACCGACAGATTTAACCATAATCTCAATGTAAAATCTAATTTTGTGAATCTATAGAGATTAGTCCACGTTTTACCTTAATTCACATCCCCGTCTCTGGCCTTTAATGTTAATACTGTCTCATAGACAATCAGGAAAAGTAAGTATTGACCAAATTGTTTATTTGCAGTGGATTTTCTCCAGCCGTCCAATCAGAAATGTGCAGTTGGGGAGACATTTGGTTGCCAGGGACATAATCCTGCTTTAAACTTCATGAGTGCATATAAGCAAATTACAAACCCGCGGATTAGATGAACAACACATAATGAGATGTTAGCATCAGATATCACTATCCAGCCTGCAGAGCTGCAGCGTGCACAGCTGATTTTTGACAAAATAGAAGAATAAAACCTGTCCGACCTGTTCCTTTTATCTGTGTTTGCATTCTGCATACATCCAGCTAAAGAAGAGCAGCACACTATCTAACATATTACTCTCTAAATGGCTTCCACTTAATGTTTTCCCTGCATGAGTCTGAGGGTTTAAGGGTGTAAGAGCTCCTCATTTCAATCTAATGTGATGGTTTTAAGAATTTACATAATTCCCAAACATTCCAACTAGTTTTCTTTTTGAACACCAAATGGATTTCCCCTGCAGGAAAAATAAATTAGTTGAGTTGTTGCATAACCACTTACATTGTTAAAGCTGTGCTAAACTTAAGAGGGGAAATGTATAGGCACAGTGTGTACCATATTAAGCTTTAAAGCCAGGCCTCAGCCAGCCCCAGATGAGAGTCACAATCCTCATAAAGGCACTGAAGCCCCTTAATAATACAGAGTACTGTCAGCAATTATGGTGAACGAGCTCAAAGTAGATTTCCACGTTCAGCGTCTCTGCAGATCAGCTGTCTGTGCCGAGGCTTCAGATAAGCACCCATAGATAATCTTAAATATAATTTTATTGTCTGCTTTTAGATCATGTGTTTCTTGAGAATATCAGTCTTACACGATGTCGGCCTCCTCTGAGATCTGATGGATTATGTGGAGCAGAAGAAAGCTCACAGAGCGGGGCAGATGTGTCAGGGGACAATCCAGATGAGAAGCAGGCAACTATAGGATCTGGAGGTATACAGTCTGCTCCGAGATCAGATCAGGAAATAAAATCTTTCACATAAAAAAATATAAGCCTTTTCAGGAGGGTATAATCCCTGTGTTGTATCAATACCTGGATTCACTAAAGAGATGACGGTTTGGGAAGCAAAGTCCAAATCAATAGATGCATGATTTGTAATATTTATACAACTGAAAACACTGTTTGCTCAATTTTCCACCCACAGAATCACCAACTGAAAGAAAACACTGTATTTTTGAGAAGTACAAGAGCAGTTATTCACACTCTAAAATGTCTACGTGACCCCTCATCAAAGATTATATTGTTAGTGTGGACATGAATTTTGATCAGTGTAACCAAAGAGTGTTTTTTCATCTCAGATTTCTTCCTGATTAAGGATTTTTAGGGGCCCTGAAGAAGTTAAAGAATCCAGGAAATCACATAAACAAAGGTGCAAATAGAGAAAAATCATAAAAAAGAAACTTAATTTTATGTACTTCTTATTTCTGGCTCTTATTTTTTTGTATTTATTTAACCAGGACGTCCCATTGAGATTGAAAATCTTTTAAAAAAGAGGCCGGGCCAAGGTCGCAGCCAATCACAACACATTTAAAATACAACAAATACAATACAAAAATCCACAATAATACAACAACTATTCAAACATAGCAGCCTCTCAAGAAAAACAATCACATGTCTCTGTCACCACATTCTTTATGATGCCCTTAAATTCATCAAC